AAATACTGATTCTGAGCTCAAATTTTTGAGTTATGGCCATCTAAAAGATGCTGATCAGTATAGTACCAAAGGTATTTATGTATTGTCTATTATGTATTAGGTACTATTTAGGTACATGTACTCTTGGCAGTACATTGATGTACTTATGTTGAGGAAGCCATTATAGCCATAATTTTCCCAGGAAAAGTAGGCGTGACATCAGATTAGTCACGCCCACCTCTTATCTTCTTACTTGACATTGGGCCAGTCAGCCTTTTCTTTCTTCATGGGCTGCATATCGTCCTCGGCTAAAGACGAGTCTGAATCCAGCGAGGTCCGCGAGCCTCTTTTGATAAATGGAGGAAGCTACCACGAGGATAGGTCAGACAACGACCAAGTGACTCGTGTCGTGAACAGAAACCGTGTTCCAAACACTGTCATAAACCTCCCCAGTCCAGGCTCGAGGCCGCCACCGCTTGTCACCTACGAGGACATACCTAGCCCTACAGAAAAGGAGAGGCCGTTATCGCCTCCAGGAAACACTCTAGCCCTCAGTAGAGATGGTGAAATGATTAGAAAAGCACTACAAGATGCCTACTCGTGGGTCGAGTCATACACAGACCCAAATCCCGAATTTGCCTTCAAAATGAATCAGCTTTTCACAAAATGCGAGTCTCACTTCACTTTTCTTGCTAATGAGGGTTCCCAGCGTGACAAACGAGAATGCGACCTGCTAGTTGAAGAGCTCCTTAAGCTAAGGACACACCTTGGTCCTCGTCTCCTTCCCCTAGCAACAAGGAATGCATTCATGAGGGAGAGAATCAGTGTCACTATGGGCGAGGGGAGCGAAGAGCATCAGTTTAGAATAGACTGCATACAATTCTTTGAGCCGATCGTCTTTTATGGCAACAGCCTCGGAAAGAAAGAGGATCTCGTGAAACTCTATGTCTTTGTTGTGACTGATCTCAAGAAAGACTCCGTGCTCATACGATATTACTTGGAACGAAGCTTTTTATACGATTTCTACCACGTCCTCTGCTATTTCAAAGACAACAATCGGGGCCAGCTGAAACCCTACGGGACCAGTTGTCCGTCGTACTGGACGATACGACAAGACATGTACCAGAATACGAAGCATCATCTGAGGGAAGCAGTGTTGCAAGCATCGTCCTCTTACACTTTGTCTAATCGTCATCATCCGACCGTTTCTACTTACTTTCCTGATGGTCGTGTCACACAAGCTAATTGATGTAAATAATGACTACTGCCAATACGTGCACATACCCTCACACGACATTAGAACAAACCATGTATAATGCTCTCTCTCTCGCTCTCATTGTAAATCCGTTTCAAAATAAGTAATAATAATAATTGGTTGTTGTTTGTTTTTTGTTGATTTCAATGTAAGCTGCTGTTAATGCTAAATATACACAAACGTATGCTTTCAAGTGTCTGAGACAATTGAAAGTATTAATTGTATGTAATTATACTTGCTTATTTTCTATTTTTTATATAATTTTGATGACAATAATAATTATTAACAATAATTATAGGACTAGCATAATGAGCTCCTCCCATAGAGGAGTGGCTACTGGCTAGCCATTTTTACAAGAAAGAAAATGGGTTGCTGTGAGTCTAAAGATATGAATGCTGGGTCTAGCATCACTGCTAGTATGATGAGTGCAATCAGTAAAACAAAGAAATCTTGTTGCTGTGACTCAGGGGAAGGACAGGAGCCTTTACTGAATAACGAAAGCGCCTCCTCTTCATCTCTTACAACACCGGACAAAAGAACAAGAAGCTACAGTGGGACCACTTCCTTTAACGACGGGGCTCCCTATACATCAAACTATGTCCAACCCGACGGGCCTATTGGAGCAGCGAGCAGTGATAGGTTTGATGACAGTGGGAGACGCCATAATGTCTCCTCTTCTGATGTATACACCCAAAGGGGCAAGGACTTACACTCTGCTATTAA